AGATGCTTTGACCAGTATGATTCAGAAGCTTGCTACTACAGTGGAAGACAATCAAAAGAAGACGGAGCTTGCTCTCTCGGTGCCTAGTGTGAATATGGTAGCCCCCGTTCCTATTAGTCCCTCTTGTTCTATGTGTGGGGGACTCCATTCGCCACATGAATGCACAATGATGGCACACTCGGCAGCCCCTGGAGTAGAGCAAGTGGATGCGATGTATTATCAGCGACAGGGTTACTATAATCAGCCCTACGGACAGCAGCAGCAAGGGCAATACGGGCAGGGAAATCAGCAGCAGTCTAGAAACTTTAATCAGCCCCAGGTATCTCAAGGCCAACAACAAGCACCTCAGCCGCAGCAAGGGAGTTTTAGAAAAGAGACTGAGCAAAGATTCTCTAGTTTGGAAGACACATTCAAGAAATACATGCAAGTGACTGATGCAAGGATGCATAACATGGAAACTCAATTGGGGCAAATCTTTAAGGCTGTATCTGAGAGGCCTCAGGGATCCCTCCCTAGTAATACTGAACCAAACCCCAGAGAACATGTTCAGGCAGTCACCTTGAGGAGTGGAAAAGAGCTGGAACCTGCTGCCATAACAAGGAAGCCCGATGAAGTTCAAGTTGAACCGGCTGTCCGGGAGGAGGAGAAGGGGAAAGATGAGGGAAGAGAGGTGGCGGCTGCACCAAAACAGTCCGTTCCGGTCAAGAATTACACCCCACCTCTTCCTTATCCGGCGCGATTGACTAGGAAGAACGATAGTGACCAGTTTGGTAAGTTTCTGCATCTCATGAAACAAGTGCAGATTAACTTACCATTCGTGGATGCACTAGCTCAGATGCCGAAGTACGCGAAATTTATGAAGGATTTGCTCACAAATAAGAGGAGGCTGGAAGAAGCGTCTACTGTGACGCTTAATGAGGAGTGCTCAGCGGTGATACGGACAGATCTGCCAAAGAAGCTTAAGGATCCAGGTTCTTTTACTATTCCCTGCTTTATAGGAGATCTTACTTTTGATAGGGCCCTGGCTGATTTGGGTGCAAGCATTAATCTGATGCCTCTTGCTTTATATGAAAAGCTTGCACTCGGTCCACTTAAACCTACACGTATGTGCATTCAGTTGGCTGATCGTTCAGTCAAATATCCCCAAGGGATTATTGAAGACGTGTTGGTTAAAGTGGACAAATTTATTTTTCCGGTAGACTTTGTTATTTTGGACATGGATCAGGATCGGGAGGTACCATTGATTTTGGGCAGACCATTCTTGGCAACTGCCCGTGCACTTATTGATGTTGGAGACGGTAAGCTTGTCCTCCGCGTTGGGGATGAGTCTGCCACCTTTGACATGTCCAAAATAATGAAGAGGCCCTGTCAAGATAGTGGTGAGTGTTTTTACATGGATGTGGTTGATTCTTTGGTGGAGGATTGCATTCCTAACATGCTTTCTGATGAAGCCTTCTTTGATCTTCTTTTGGATGATAGTTTGTCAGCAGAGGATCTTGAGCTCCTCCCCAGTTTTGATTGTCTTATGCTTGATGGGGAGGAGGACTCAAGTGATGCTAGTGATGTGAAGGGGAAGGAAGATGACTTAGATAAGGTGGAGAAGGAAGATTGTCAGACTGATTCTTCTATTGTTACTCCTTCTCCATTAAATCTAAAGCCTCTTCCCTCCCACCTTGAGTATGCGTTCCTAGATGATAGTTCTGACCTCCCTGTTATTCTTGCATCCGGGCTTGAGCCATCCCAAAAATCTGCATGTCTTGATTTACTTTGTGAACAAAGGGAAGCTCTAGCCCGGAAACTTTCTGACATGAAAGGAATCAGTCCCGTTTTCTGCACTCACAAAATTTTGATGGAAGATAATGCTAAACCGGTAGTGCAGCCACAAAGGAGACTGAATCCTAATATGCAGAAGGTAGTCAGGGAGGAAGTCATCCGTCTGTTAGATGTAGGGATTATTTATCCAATTTCAGACAGCCCTTGGGTCAGCCCGACCCAGGTGGTTCCCAAGAAAGGGGGAATGACTGTGGTTAAGAATGAGAAAGATGAGTTGATTGCTACACGTACGGTCACCGGATGGCGGGTTTGCATTGATTACCGAAGGTTGAATGCCGCCACCCGGAAGGACCACTTCCCCCTCCCCTTCATTGATCAGATTTTAGAGAGGCTAGCAGGGCATAAGTTTTACTGTTTCCTTGACGGGATGTCGGGATACTTCCAGATCCCCATAGCCCCCGAGGACCAGGATAAGACCACTTTTACATGTCCATTCGGTACCTTTGCTTATCGGAGGATGGCGTTTGGATTATGTAATGCCCCTGCTACCTTTATGAGATGCATGCTTGCTATTTTTGGGGATTTCATTGGGAAGTTTATGGAGGTTTTTATGGATGACTTTTCTGTATATGGTGATACCTTTGATGAGTGCTTAGAGAATTTGAAGAAAGTCCTGGTTAGGTGTCGAGAGGTGAATTTGGTACTTAACTGGGAGAAGTGCCACTTCATGGTTAGTGAGGGAGTGGTCCTAGGGCATAAGATTTCAAGTAGGGGGATAGAGGTTGATCCGGCTAAAGTTGATGTGATTTCTAAACTACCTCCCCCTACTTCGGTCCGTGCCATTAGGAGTTTTCTAGGCCACGCAGGTTTTTACCGTAGGTTCATCCAGGACTTTTCTAAGATAGCCAGACCCATGACTAAGCTCCTTGAGAAGGATGCACCGTTTGACTTCTCAAAGGAGTGTTTAGAGGCTTTTGAGTGTTTGAAGGAGAAACTGGTCAAGGCACCGGTGGTAGTAGCTCCTGACTGGTCTTTGCCTTTTGAGATTATGTGTGATGCTAGTGATTTTGCAGTAGGAGCCGTTCTTGGGCAGCGTCGAGAGAAACATTTTCAGCCTATTTCATATGCTTCAAAGACTCTCGATAGTGCCCAAGAAAACTACACTACCACCGAGAAAGAATTGCTTGCTGTTGTGTTTGCTCTTGACAAGTTTCGTCCTTATTTGATTTTGTCTAAGGTAGTGATATTCACCGATCATTCTGCTCTTAAATATTTGATGCAAAAAGTGGATGCTAAGCCTAGATTGATTCGGTGGATATTACTACTCCAGGAGTTTGATATTGAGATTAGGGATAAGAAAGGGGCTGAGAATTTAGCGGCTGATCACTTGAGTAGGTTAGAAAACCCTTTTCTTGATTCCCTGAGTGAGAGAGATATTGAGGGTACTTTTCCTGATGAGAGACTGTTGAGGATCGTTGATGAGGTGCCTTGGTTTTCTGACATCGCCAACTATCTTGTTGGGGGTGTTGTTCCTTCTGATTATACACCTCATCAACGACGGAAATTTTTTGCTGATTTGAAATATTATTTCTGGGAGGAACCATATTTGTTTCGTATTTGTGCTGATCAGGTCGTTAGAAGATGTGTTCCCCTGAGTGAAGGAGTTGAGATTCTCAAACATTGTCACTCTGGACCGACTGGGGGACACTATTCTTTTAACCGGACAGCTCGTAAGGTGTTGGAATGTGGTTTCTTCTGGCCCACTTTATTTAAAGATGCTCTAACGTTTGTACAGGAATGTGACAGGTGTCAACGCACCGGGCCGGTTACCAAGAGGGATGAGATGCCCCAGAATTTTATATTGGCTTGTGAGGTATTTGATGTTTGGGGCATTGACTTCATGGGACCGTTCCCGGGTTCTAAAGGTAATAAATTCATTCTGGTTGCTGTGGATTATGTTTCCAAGTGGGTTGAGGCTGAAGCTCTGCCCACTAATGATGCTAGAGTTGTGATTCGTTTTCTGAAGAAATTGTTTTCTAGGTTTGGAGTGCCACGAGTTTTGATAAGTGACAGGGGAACCCACTTTAGGAATGATCCCATGACTCGCCTTCTGGCAAAGTACGGGGTCACTCATAAAGGGGGCGTCCCCTATCACCCTCAAACTAGTGGCCAAGTTGAGAATTCGAATAGGGACATTAAGACAATCCTTGAAAAGACTGTTGAGACCCATAGGAAGGATTGGTCTGATAAGCTAGATGATGCGCTGTGGGCACTGCGTACAGCGTATAAGACACCCATTGGCACTACTCCGTTTCACTTGGTTTATGGGAAGGCGTGCCACCTTCCGGTAGAGATAGAGCATAAGGCCTACTGGGCCTTGAAAACATTGAATAGGGATTTGTCTTTGGCGGGTCGTGAACGGCTTTGGAAGCTCAACGAGTTGGATGAGTGGAGGCTTATGGCCTATGAGAACTCTAAAATTAGTAAGGAGCGTGCCAAAGCCTTTCATGATCGGCACATTAAACAGGGAAAAGAATTTTGCAAAGGGGATCAAGTTCTGCTATTCAATCCCCAAATGAAAATTTTTAAAGGAAAGTTGAAGTCTAGGTGGTCCGGTCCTTTTGTAGTGAGCGAAGTTTTTCCATATGGAACTGTTGAGATTGATCATCCTGAGAAAGGCCGTTTTAAAGTTAACGGTCATCATTTGAAGAAATATTACGGAGGACCGCTAGAACGCGAGCGTGAGGTGACCTTTGTCACGAATTTAGAAAGCTGAGTGCGTAGTTGCGTCGGGCAAACGACGTTAAAAATAGCGCTTCTCGGGAGGCAACCCGAGCTTGCTTTTTGCTTCTGTAGTTTAGTTTTACTGCTTTTCATAAAAAACCCACAAAAAACCACAAAAAAAAAAAAAAACTCTTTTGCAAGTGCGTTGGCCATAAAGCAAGATGGATCGTCTACTGCCAGGCACGCACGGCCGTGCGTCCGGGTACGCACTCCGTGCGTTGCCAAGGCAAAATACGGACCCAGCTACTGCCAGGCACGCACGGCCGTGCGTCCGGGTACGCACTCCGTGCGTTGCCAAGGCAAAATACGGACCCAGCTACTGGCAGGCACGCACGGCCGTGCGTCCGGGTACGCACGCCGTGCGTTACCCATCTAAAACACCCACCCTGCCCGATAAACAAAAACAAACCCACGCACGCACCCCTCCTTTACCCACGACGCACGCACGAACCCCCTCCCTTCCCTCTTTCGACCGCGACCCACACCGCCACCACCGCACCACGCCGCCGCCCTCCGCACCACCAACCGCCGCCGCCCCTCTCTCTCTCTCCTCTACTTCCTCAAAGGTATTCCTCTTCTTCCCCAAGCTCCCTTCTCCATTAATGGTGTTTCAAGCTTTGTAAAATCCGATTTTTGCATAAGCTCAAAAGTTAGGGATTTGATTTCCTTTGTCAAATTGAAGCTTGTAATGATGATTTTGATGTTCTAAGTGTATGAATTTGCCCATTTTGCTTGGAATCCCTAATTCTTGATTTGACTTGGCCAATTTAGGGTTGATTTTGAGCAAAATTTGGGGATTTTGTGTTTGTTGCTAGAATGAAGGTAGTGAATTATTGCTTACGATGATACATGATTGTTGTTTAGTCTACTTGAGAATGAATCCACAATTTTTGGGCTAAACATTGTCCAAATTGGAACTTTTGAGTTCTTCCCCAAAAATTTTGACATTTTAGCTAAATAATTTGGGAAGAATTCTAATCTGAAAACATGAATGATGCTTGCTTATGACACTGTTTACACCGTGTGTCGTTGAAAATTTGATTTTTACTCAAAGTTCTTTGATAAAAGTTCAATTTTCAACTATTCTGGTTAAACAATGGGTTTGTATTGGCTTATAATTGTGCTTAAGTGTTAGTGTTGCTAACGGGGCTATGATTTCGAAACTCTTGGCTTATCTCTAACCTGTGGCAACCCCGTTGGAACCGTCGTGGATTATTTTTCTTTTGCAGATGACCCGCACCAAGCATTCCGCTAAGAGGCACCGGGACAACACCGGTGCTAGCTCCAGTCGGGCCAACCCAAACAGAAATCAGCAGCCGATTGTACCATACCAACCCCAGTTTCGGGATAACGCCCAAAAAGAGAAATTTGAGGAATTAATGCAAAGGCGAGCGGGAAAAATATTGTTCCCCCATTTGCCTACACTGGAGAAAGCCGGAATCCAAGACGAGGTGATGCAGCTGTTGTCCCGTGATTGGTGGCAACATCTCTTTTTCGGCATCAATGAGCCGACTTATAAAGAGATCACTTGCGAGGTTCTTTCTTCTTTCAAGGCCCCGAGGGAAATCACCAACAGCTTTTACCCGGTAATCAAGTTTAGAGCTTTCGGGGAGGACCATATACTTTCAGCCAATGACATCTCTTCACACTTAGGTTTTGAGCGATTGGACGATGTTGCCCGATGGGATGGGAGCCTTTTAGACTTTCCGAAGGAGGTGAATCAACAACAGTTTTGGGAGTCTATTACTATTAATGGGGGCAGGTACAACTCACAGACATCGCCTAGTACAGTCCTACACCCACTCAAGTACCGCGTCATCCATGCCTTGTTGAGTTCCACAGTTTCTGGCCGCGCAGAGAAAGGCGGCAAGGTCTCCTCCACTGACTTTTTCTGTCTCTATTGCATGATTCATGGGAGGAGACCGATCTTTGGCGCTCTCTTCGCGGGACTTTTTGCCAGGCAGGCTAGTTATCGGGTCAAGGAGCTTTTTGCGGGACCATACATTACACGGATGATGAAGGCCATGGGGTATGGAGACCGCCTAGAAGGGATGACAGTCGTAGAGCATATTTATCCGATGGAGACGCTGCCCAAGGAGATTCCAGCTGGACGCCGAGCAGCTAGGCACGCAGATGATGATGACGGTGGTGCTGAGGGCCACCAGCAGGCTGAGCAGGATGACGCGCATGAGATGTTGCATGGGGCCCCCGTTCTGCCCCCTCCCCAGGGACATGTGTTTCCCAACTCTTGGGAAGGGATGCATCAGCATATAGAGGATATGTATGGCCGACTTTATGAGCACCAGCAGCAGTTTTTCACGCAGATGAGCAACGATGTTACTGCAGGCTTCTCCAGTCTTGATTTGAGGATGACGTCATTGGAGCAGAGATGGGACAGACAGTTCCCCGATGATCAGCAGCCACCCCCTCCCCCATTTTAGATTATGATACACTGTACCCATTTTGATCACATTCTGCACTGAGCACCTGACACTTCTTTTACTCTCTGTTTTCGTGGATGTTTTCTTTCTGCTTTGTTGTGATTGCAGCTTTTATTGATAATTGATCGTTGCTTAGATGTTTGGAATGAAGGATCGATTGAGTTCAAGGCCGACCAAAGACCTAGGGGAGTTTCTACGTTCCTTACTCGTACTTTTTCGCCTGCCTTTTGTTGACTTGAGTTGATGTTGAGCACGCGCGACCCTTTCCCTTTATCCCCTTGTGCATTATGCAGTTTTGGTCATCGAGGGCGATGCCAAAGTTTAAGTGTGGGGGAGTGAATTGGGCATTCGGGCATTAGTTGTTATTTGTAATTATTGGAGTTAGCATGCGCAGGTGTTAGTTGTATATTCATAGGAAATTCATGCAAAATTTTTGCAAATTTTTCTTTAAACTGTGTCTTTGTGAGCTGGCTAACATTTTGACTATGCTTTTATGACATTCTTTGAAGTGTTTAGGCTTAATTTGCTTGCACTATAATCTAGTTGTTGAAAGGATGAAGGCATTAGTCACCCATTGAATTAATCCATTAATCATCCACCCCACATGAATAAGACCCTTTAGGAGAAGCCATTTTGAGCCTGCCCGTTTATTGTTACCCGATTAATTGAGCTCCATAGCCAAATGGCCTGTTTCCTTACCCGTGAATATTTCTGACTTAGTCTTGGTGTTTAGGGAACTAGGGGATTAATTTGCTAAGTTTAGGGAATTTGTGTAGGAGCCATTTTTGGCACTGTTCCTATGCCCCAAATAGGGTAAGAGCAGTCACTTTTTAGGAATTTGATACTTTCGAAGATTGCATTGTAGGCATGGATTCACTTTTAAATTAATGAACTTTAATTGCTATTTTTCCTTGGTGAGGCCGAGATTAGAATGAGGTAATGTCTAGTGAGAATCCGAAAGGTGAAAAATTAATATAGCTAGACCTCTTACTTTACGAAAAAGAGAATGGGAGCCCCGGTCAAAAAGCGTAAGATGAGACTTGGGTATCTTTCGAAAGAAACGGCGTTCTCGTGCCAACATGACAAGGAAAACTAAATTTAAATTAATGAACTTGGAGGCTATCTCAAAATTTAGCTTTAGTCCTCCGCGTACTTCAAGTATACGTCAAAGCACAAATGGGCCGAGACGGTTTAGCTTAGTTGTACACCATGTCTACTCTTTGCATAGGTTTAAATGATTGTTCCTAAATTGTGGCCTACTAAGTTCTTTGATCCTAAGAATAGCCCTGAAGTTCCTGAATGCATTGAGTCTTTGTTAGAATATTCCAATCTCTCAAAAGAAAGGGACTATTATTGCTATCCATGATCCATTCACCACCACCTTCACAAGTCCTTCTGATCAATAACTAGTTTATTTGTGTGTGCTGTCACTGCTTTGAGGATGTTGTGAATAATTTTGTCAAATATGTTCGCTAGAGTACAAAGATGTAGTTTAGGGAAGAATTTTCTTGGTTTAGTCTGCCTGTTCTGTGAATATCCCTGTAACTACGTGTGCATGCTAACTGTTTTAATTTCGGGTGGTGATTATGTAAGTCCCGTTGTTCAGTTTGCTTGAGGACAAGCAAAAGCTTAAGTGTGGGGGAATTTGATAAGTTCGTATTTCAACACGCATTTGATGCGTGTTGGGGTCGGATTTTGATAATTTTCCTAACTTTTGGGTGTCGTAAGTCTCAATTTTAGCTCAAGTCATGTGTATCGGGCGTAGGGTATGAGTTTTGGTATTTTCAGAGTTGAAATCAAGTTTTTGGGACCCGGCATCGGCATTTGAGAAAGAGATCGGGACGAGTTAAGAAGCATTCGAGAGTGAATTCGCAGTTTTGGAGGCCACCGGGAGATTCACGATGATGTTTTGATGAAGAAAGAGCTATTGGATCGATCGAGTGGTCAAACGGAGGCTTAAAACGAAAGAAATCGAAGAAAATGAAGAAGAAAGGCCACGCACGGCCGTGCGTACAGGGACGCACGGCGTGCGTGCGTGGCAGTAGCGGCCAAGAAAAGTAATGACCAACGCACGGCCGTGCGTCCGGGTACGCACGCCGTGCGTCCAAGGCGATAAATTGAAAGAAGCTACTGGCGGCAACGCACGGCCGTGCGTCCGGGTACGCACGCCGTGCGTTTAAGGAGTTGAAATCAGGAAGGCTACTGGCAGCAACGCACGGACGTGCGTAGGGGAACGCACGCCGTGCGTTGCCTATTTTCACGCGCAGGTCCGTCGGACGCACGGACGCAACGCACGCCGTGCGTAGGCTCCGTGCGTACCGCGGATCTGTCCTTTTTCGACCCAAACTCATTGTTTTCTATAAATAAAGCCTCCCTAACCCCGTTTTGAGGTTCGGAAACCTAGAGAGAAGATTAGGGACGTGTTTTACAGTGTTTTTCCGCTATTTTGTTCAAGACCCTGAGATTCTTTGTAAGTTTCATCTTTTTAATTAATGACAATTATTTCTATTCATCCCAATTCTGTTGATTCTTCAATTATGAATTGTGAGTAGTTTAATTAGGGATTTGGGGTTGATGAAGGGGTTAATCATGATGTATGGCTAGATTCTTGTCGGTTTAATTGCATGAATGCCGTTTAATTTGTGTTTGAATAATTTAATTGATATCTCTTGTAACCTAGACTGCAGCTAGAATTACAATTGCATGTAGAATGAATTAAGAGAGATCTAATTTGTTCTAGGACACATTCACACACACTTAATCGTTCGCTAAGAGATTAGTAGCGATAAAGGGGCCGTAAGCTCGCTCGTCTTGGCAATAATTTAGGATCCTGTCGCATGAGAGATCAGCCTGGTCCCCTAAATTATTGTACTCTACGCCGCGAGAGCGGTAAGAACTTAGTAATGATTAGCTAGGCTCAATTAAATTAAATTCATGTAATTAGGCCTGATCTGTCAGAAATCTGGTTACCCCGGAATTAATCCCTGTTCCCTTCGTCGTTAATTGAGAAGAAACCAATCTTTTATTTTTATCGCTCATTAGCATTAGTTTCAATTTTAATTCAACCAATCAATCTCGCACACTTGCATTTATTTATTTTTATTTCTTTTTAATCGCTAAAGTTTAGTTAATCTTTATTTCCCTTTTGTCCGTCCCTGTGGAGACGATACTCGTACTTTACACCACTTTTCTACAACTATTTTAAGTGCGAGAAAAATCACATCAGGTATCCTATATACCCGGTCGGGTATCAGACCCTGCAGCTCCCAAAAGCCTATAAATACACCCCTTTCCTTCACAATAAAATCACCAATTCACATATACTCTTTAGCTCAGTTTAGATTAGTGTTTTCTTTATATTTTCTATCATGTTTAGTCTCCAAATGAGGAGCTAAACTCTTCCATCTTGGTTTTGCTACTTTGAAGCTTAATGAATTTGTAAGTTGTGAGTTATTCTCTTTAATCTTCTTCCTTGAATATTAATTCTTCCTTTAAATACTATTTCTATATCAATGTTGGGGAGTGTTACTAAGATGACAATTAGTTAACATCTTGACATTAGTTATAGTAATAGCTACTTCTTCCTCTATGTTAATATTGGGGAGTGTTACTAAGATGACAATTAGTTAACATCTTGATATTAACTATAGTAGGATTCATCTTCTTTATATTCTTCCTTGAGTATTAATTAATTCCTATTCATATTTCATATTAATATTTTGAACATTACTTAAAGGATCAACTAGTTTTGTTTCATATATTAATTATTACTAGAATCGGTCGATTAATACGCTTGTTATTAATTCGGTCCTTTCGCGGTAGTAAACTTGGGTTATTAATGCATGCGTTTCATGGTTAATAAACCAAGGGGAATTAATTATATTGATTAAACCAATAAACCGCTTGTGTTGAGGTTATCAATCTCAATCGTTTTCATCTTGATTTTATTGCTACTATCGAGTGAATATACGGCGCGTGTTCTATATTGACTCGGTAGTAAGTTTTATTAATGAACGCGTC